CAAGGAAAACAACCAACAGTATTTGCCAGTAATCATAAAATTCAAGCTAACAGCAAAAATTATTTGGGAAAACTTACACCTGACAAAAGGAGCTTGACAGCTTCCCACTACTTAAGTCTCTTCTGACACATGAATGGAAAAGACTTTAATTAATTAATCATTGTAGGGTTCTCTTGCTTTTTTTGCTTTGTTTTGTTTTTTGTATAATGCAATGTGTCAACATTTGGAACACCAGCAGAACTCAATGAGCAGAGGTCAAGACTAAGTAAACCCTAAGAGACAACATAGTGTTGGCTTGGGGCCACGGCAAGTGGTGAGGCAGGAGTGGACAGTGACTGCTAACATGCATGTGGTTTCATTTTGGAGTGTTCAGAATATTCTAACATTATATTGCAGTGACATAAATATACTAAAAATCAATAGTATATACTTTATTTGGGTGAATTGTACAATGTGTAAAATATATCTCAAAAATGTGTAAAATAACTATACCAAATGTAATTTTATCATAACATCTGGAGCGTATCAAAAAACAAAACAGGTTGTCAAGGCACCCACCAAGGTGTGCTGACCCCTCTAATGCTAAAGATAGCATTATCTTTGAGTTTCTCATTCCATTACATCTTTGGTGCCTGGTATTTTTTTATTTTTTATAGATTTTATTTACTTATTTTTAGAGAGGGGGAGGGAGGGAGAAAGAGAAGGAGAGAAACATCAATGTGTGGTTGCCTCTCACATGCCCCCAGCTGGGGACCTGGCCTGCAACCCAGGCATGTACCCTGACTGGGAATCGAACTGATGACCCTTTGGTTCACAGGCTGTCTGTCACTCAATCCACTGAGCCACAACAGCCAGGGCTGGTGCCCAGTATTTCAAAGCATATATTTAATTTACTATTATGTTATTCTCCCAACATACCCTCCTTCTATCTATACATTAAAATAATTTTTGTTAAAGTTAGAATTGCTCTATTAATGCAGTGTGCTTACTTCTAACTCATACTCCACAAACAATACATACAACAATAACAATAAAAGATATCAGATGAAGTTCTAATCATCTGAACACTTGATTGGGGCTGAAAGATCATCAGAGCTCACTCACATGGCTGTTGGCATGAGGCCACATTTCCTCAACTCAGGGATTTCTCCCTTAGTAGCCTGAGTTTCCTCATGACATGTCAACTGACTTCCTCCAGAAAAGCAATCTGAGAATGGGCAAAGAAGCAGCTCAGGACCTTTGATGACCTCATTTCTAAAATGTACAACATTACTTTAACTTTATTCTTTTATAGAAAGTAGCCAATCTTGCCCACACTCAAGGAGAGAGGAATTAGTCTCCACTTCTTAAAGAGGGGAGTGTCAAAGAATTTGGGAACATATCTTAAAACCACCACAGCCTCTTTGGTATTTTTTAAGATTTTATTTATTTATTTTTAGAGAGAGGGGAAGGGAAGGAGAAAGAGAAGGAGAGAAATATCAATGTGTCATTGTCTCTTGCACGCCCCCTACTGGGGACCCAGCCCACAACCCTAGCATGTGCCTTGCTTGGGAATCAAATTGGCAACCCTTTGGTTCACAGCCTGTGTTCAATCTGGTGAGCTACACCAGCCAGGGCCCTCCTTGGTATTACACAGACTCTCATCTCCTATGGAAAGACAGAGAAACTGAGGATCAGGTCCAAAGTTTAATGGTCAGAATATCCAAAGTTCAAAGAAGGATAAGTTACTAATGCAGGCAGAGCTAGGCCCAGATGGGAAAAATGGGATGGAATGATCTGTATTATGTCCCTGAAAACCTTGAGTCCCCAGATTCATCTGAACCCTCTGAGCCTGAAGAAGTAACCCACTCCTTCTCAGTAAGAGCTTACCTCTCACTCCCCCTTGCTTGGAGATGATACAGAGCCTGCTCTCCCACAAGACGGTTTACCCACCCACACCCATCCCCACAGGGGTGTGGATCCTCAGTATCTGTCCTTTCTGGCTACCAGGATTTTAATCCCAAAACTTACTTACTCTCAGAATTAGAATTAAGTCACAGTTTAACCTGTTGGGACTGAGAAGGGGTAAAGGGACTATACCCTGAAGGAGCCATAGAACTTACCAGCATGTACCAGCAAAAGCCAGGAGTGTACGTGTGAGACTGAATGCTAAAGTGCTTGGTAAAGAGGACTGGAACATAAATTGAAGAGGAGAGAGTTCATCCATTTGCAAGTGCTTTCCAAGGATACAGGATTTAATTTTCACTTCATTAAGAATAGGAATAAACAAGCTACAGATTGAGGGAAGTATTCTCGACACATGTCCATATCTGACAAGTGATTTGTATCTGGAATACGTGAGGGACTTCTACAATTCAGTGATAAACAGACAATACAATTTTTTTAAAGAACTGGAGTAGATAGTTAACAAAAGATATATGAATGGCCAGCAAGCACAGGAAAAAGGTCTCAACATCATAAATCATCAGCAACATTTAAATTATGAGTTGTAGGGGTACCACAATGAGATACCCCTACATACCCATCAGAACAGCTAAAAAGAAAAAGGCTGACAATACCAAGCATTGTTGAAGATGAGAAACAAGGAAAATACTCATATTTTTCAGGTGGAGTGTAAAATGGTACAAACACTTTGAAAACTGTTAAATACTTTCTTAATTTAAACCTAGCAATCCCACTTCTAGGTATTTATCCAAGAGAAATATAAATGTCCACAAAAAGCCTTGCATAAGAATGTTCATAAAAGTTTTATTTATATCAGTGTCAAAATTGAAAACAGCCCAGGTGTCCATAGGCAAAGAGATAAACTGTAGTGTAGTCATATTAAGAGAAAACTACTCAGCAATAAAATGGGATGAATTATTGATACACATAACAACATAAATTGATCTCAACAACATTATGCTGAGTGAGGAAAGCCAGGCCCAGAATAGTACCTAGTGCATATTTCCATTCAGAAAGTCTAACACAGGCAAACTGAATCTATGGTGATAGAAATCAGATGAACAGTTGCTCCTGGAGAGGGGATTGACCGGGGAGATGCACAAGAGACCTCTGAGGGTGAGGGAAATGCTCTATATCTCGATAGGGCTATGAGTTACATGAGTATATGCATTTATCAAAATTGACTGAACTGTACACTTAAGATCTATGCATTTCATTATATGATTAAGAAAAACAATCAAACTTATCATTCTTCTTTCCAAACCTTTTCCTCCCACTTTTTATTTAGTTAAACCATCACCATCTATTTAGTATTCTTCAAACCCAACACAACCTAGACTCTTCTCTCCCACTTCCTGACACCCTCATCTACACTATCACCAAACCCTTTAGAGTGCAGCTCCTAAATAACTCTCCAATCTGTCCCCTCTTCTCCATTACCAATGACCCATGCTTAGGTCACACCCTGGACTAATTAACAGACTTATAATTGGGCCTAGCTTTTCCTAATTAATTCTCTACAATGCCTACGGAATGATCCTCTTAAAATTCTTAATTTATTTTGTCACTCCCTCACTAAAATTCTTTAATAGATTTATGCTACCTGTAAAAGAATATCTAAACTCCTGGCAGAACAACAAGTCAAGAGCTACCTGGTATTGTCTCTGAACATTCACAAGGGATTTTCATGCCTGAAGTCAACTAGTTCCCATTAGTCCATGGTTAGATTTTCAGCCTCCTAGAGATTCCCATTTTCCCTGGGTATCACCATAACTGCTGTCTTAATTGAAGTTTTATAGTATAAACTTCAAAAAGATTAACTAAAAAGTGAGGATTCTTAGTGATCACATCAACTGTCCATGTTATGGTTTACTTTAAGTTGGCATCAGAGGCTGGTCTAACACCAAAACAAAGGCTTACTTTCATCTCTTCGAAAATGTTTGAGCAAATGTTCAACTGCTTTTCTTGGGGTTGTTATTTAGAAAAGCATCGTCCAAAATATGGCAGGTTAAAAGATATTACCTTTGATATTCCTTCTAATGAAAATATTTTTCTAATATTCAATGCAGTGGATTAAAGATGGTCATAAATTAACACTCCTCCCATTGCAGGTGGGGTCTTTGTCGCCTCCTCTTACATTCTAGCAGATTCCACAACTGCTTTGACCAACAGACTATCACAAGAGTGAAGCCAGGCCCAGACCTCAAGAGACAAGCAGCATCCATTTCTTACACTTGAAACAGTCGCTGTTTGAGCCCTCAGCCACCGTGTGGGAATTCCAATGACCCTAAGGCCACCATGCTGTGGGGAGGTCCTGAAACTACACGAACAGAGAGAAACTGCCAGCCATCCCCAAATGAGGGGGCCTCAGACATCATGGAGCATAAATGAATCTTCCTCACTGTGTTTTATCTAAATTCTTGTCCCACAAAACTGTGAGAAAAATAACAAAATGATTGTTTTAACTCACTAAGTTGTGGGGTAGTTTGTTATCCAGAAATTGGTAACTGGTACAATAAAAACCTGATATCCCTGGAGGGTGTGGCTCAGTTGGTTGAAGCGTTGCCCCGTGGACTGAAGTGTTGCAGGTTAGGGCGCACACAAAAGGCAACTAAATCAATGTTTCTCTCACAACAATATTTCTCCCACTTTCTCTATCTCTCCCCCTTCCCTCCTCCCTTCCTCCCTTCCTGTCTGTCTCTCTCCCTCTCTCTCTCTGCAATGAAAAAAAATGTCCTCCAGTGAGGATTATCCTATAGAATTAACCCTGGCTGGTGTGGCTCAGTGGATTGAGTGTTGGCCTGCAAACCAAAGGGTCACTGGTTTGATTCCCAGTCAGGTCACATGCCTGGATTGTGGGCCAGGTTGCCAGTTGGGGGCACGCAAGAAGCAACCACGCATTGATGTTTCTCTCCCTCTCTTTCTCCCTCCCTTCCCCTCTCTCTCAAAAATAAATAAATATAATCCTTTTTTAAAAAAACTGATAAAATTAGAAGTTTTGAATGGAATTCTCATTCTATAGAAATATTTTGCTAATGAAAAGAATCTGGTCACATGACCTGGGGAAAATGCCTGCATTGACTGCAGAAAACTTTGCAGCACTCCAGAGTCTGCTGAAGGCCTCCTCCAAAGATGTTGTCAGACAGCTATGCCAAGAGAACTTTTCCAGTTCAGTCCTTGGCTCGAAATATCTCTTGGATATCATATGTTCCAGCTTGTCTGTGACGGAGGAGAAGGAAGAACAACTGCTCCAGGCTCTGCAGTGCCTCACCAGGCTGGCAGTGTTTAGTGACCTGCCCTTCGCTGAGGCAATTCTGGCTCTCATTTCTGAAAACTTCCACCAGGACCTCAAAAGTCTGCTGACAAAAATCATTCTGGAACACATACCTACTTGGAGACCTGAAGCCCAAGCAAAGCTGATCTTTCAGCCATGCCTGGTCAACCTGGACTGGAGAGTGGACATCAAAAACAGCCTAGACAGCATCAGCCACATGACTGTTCCCACCTGCCTATTCCAGATGAAGATCCAAGAAGATCACAGTCTATGCAGGGACAAACCTTTCATCTCAGCTGTCACCATAGAGCTGAGTAAGGAAATGCTAGACACTATGTTGGACAGGCTGGGTCACATCCTAGACCAGCTTTCTGCCATGGCCAACAAATGACCCAGTCCAGCTACCAGTCCCAGCTGCTGTCAACAGTGGAGTGCCTCAAGACACCTGGAGGGCTGCCCTGGTTGCTCTGGTTGCTCTGGTTGCAGCAGCTGCAGCTGACAACTGGCGCTGACAGCTGGCAGGGTGGTGGGACAGAATGGGGCTGCCATCTGGAAGGCACAACTGCTTTGGGAAAAAGCAACCATGTGCCCACACTGTTCTCCTCATTCATCTTCTCTGTCTTCTTTCCAGGGCTGTTGACCAGAAGCCTCCATCTTTGAAAGGCTCCTGCAACATAATTACCACAGTGGTGGGTGAGAGGGCCTTTGCTTTGTCTACCGCCTCAGCATGGCTGCTTGGAGAGCTTGTCTAACAAGTTTCTTCCCAGCATTAGCTCAGAATAATCCATTCCCAGCCCTGGAGCACATGGAAGGAGGCAGGTGGGTGACGCCAGTGGCTCCTGCTTCTCTGTGGGAGAAACCAAGCAGAGCCCACAGCTGGGTCACCATAGTGTGGCCTGCCTGCCCTAAGTCCAGAGACTTCCCAGCTCTCTCAGCCCTGCTGGATGGCCTATCAGCACAGGAAGTCTGAAAGAGGGGCCAATTCCTTTCTTTGTGAAGCTGGGGGTCCCTTGGTAAATGCAGCTATTCCGGGGTGAAGAAGTGGGAGTGACTGGGAATAAATAGCAGTTCTGAAAACTTAAAAAAAAAAAGAATCTGATTATAATCCTCATAAAATTGTAAAGTAAATTAGTTAGAAATGAAACAAAGAGTGGAAAGTTTTGATGTGTGTGTGGTCTTGTTTTTTTAATGAGAAAATTAGAGGTTAATATTGGAATACTACCACATTTTGCTCTTTAAAATACACATCCTCGAGAACACATATCAAATTCCACTTCTGAATGACTACTAAATTCCCACTTTGACACACTCTTTTTCAAAACAAAGCATTTCATTCCATTATTTATCCAATGAATATGTATTGGATTCCTTCTACCTATCAGGATTTGTTCTGATTTCTAGAGATACAGTGATTAACAAAACTGACCATTCCTATCCTCTGGGAGCTTCCAATGAGTGGTAAAATATAAAAAGAGAAAACCAACAAGCCACAGCTGTGCTCAGAATGAGAAAATCTTCTCAGTGGACAGCATATGGATATAGACAGTGGTGACAGGGGCACACCCCCAGGCCTATTGGTTGCAGCCCATCACAGGCAGCCAGGAATCCAATTCCTATAGAGTAGAGGAGTTTTACTCTCTGCATGATAATAGTCCCAAGCCAAACTTGAAGACTGAGGCCCTTCTTCTTAACAAGAAGCTGAAAAGGACAGCTACCAACTGGAGGAGGTGCCCTGACTTCACAGGAAGCTGCGGGCCTGGGAAGGTGAAGAACAGAGACTCCTAGCCAAGCTGGACCTGAGGGTCCCAGATATGACCACAGAACAAGAGCAGCAAAATATCATAAGATTTGTTTCTGAGCCAAGGAGGGAAGAGGGAGCAGAGAACAACATGTAATGGCAACTATAAAATCATAAAACCACTCAACAGGATGGAAGGAGAAGACTCATCCCTAAAACTATGCATCTGTTCCTAACACACACAAACCATACACCACTGAAAATATCACCAGAGCCTCTAAGGTCCACTTAAGACACTTGGCCCACATGGCAGAAAAGCTGTAGTACTACTTCATAAGGGAAGTTTGTGCTTTGGTTTGTCATCTATTGAGAGTTTTTATTTTTGTTCCTAAAGTGTTCAGCAATCGCTAGAGTGGGGAAGCAAAACTCAGCAGCCTGCCAAGCATCAAGAAAAGTCTGATGGTCATGGTCACTTGAGCCTATTCGGCAGGCTAGCAGGGGCAGTGGTGCCCCTGGGGAGGATTCTGGGCCAGCCCAAAGTGAAGATAGGGAGCTACTGTAACTCTAAGGAATGGACAAAAGTTGCAGGTATTCTCACAGATTTACTACTTTAAGACAAAAGTGAAATTTAGAGTGTTTTGAATCATAAATAAGTTTTTTATAACCTGATCTCAAGTAAAATAATTTCCTAACTAAGGTCTTTTAAATTCAGATATGAATAGAACACATCAGGTTACCCTGGGTAACTTTTTCCTCATATACTAGTGAGCCAAATTATTATCCAGGATCCAGATCCCAGATTTTTTTTAAGCAAATGAGGTAAATATTAGCCACAATTTGACAAGAAAATAATCTGGAGGCAATGCTGGATAGTCAAGAAGAAAATAAGCTCCAAAGTCCAAATGTTGAGACCCCGACCTGGGCTCTGCCACACATTAAGTGTGAAATATTTGCAAGGCACCTTTGCTCCGCTGTGCGTCAGCTTCCTCATGCACTCACCAACTGTATTGGCACTGACATCATACATTTTAAGGTGATCTTCACAGAGCAAACTGAGTAGTAGAACAATAATAAGAATATATTTTATTTTGTTTTGCCCGAAGAAAAAATATGAAAACATACGTTTTTGCGGCGATCTATATACCGGTATTGCGCCAGTCTAATTGAGCTGGTCCCTAAGACCTCTCTTTCATTTCCAAATGCGACTGGGGACTCTGTTTTAATTTTTAAATAGGTTATCTTTCACAAGCTCAGAAAGGAACAACTGTATTTAAACCTACAACTCCCCACCCAGGAAGAAGCAAACCACCCAGGTGCTGCGTTTTGTTTTTTTTTTTACCGTAGGGCACCTTAAGCTGGTGGGAGAATAGTGGAAGCACCGCCTAGGTAGCTGTCCCACTCCCGACAGGACTTGAGGGCTTGGACCTAATAAGAGGAGGGACCCGGGGAGGGTTAAGGCGGCCCTGAGCAGCAGGCGCCAGGAGGGGCGCAGGGCACCCGGGTGCAGGGTAAGAGGGCCCAGGGGATCCGGGACTGACGCATGCCCGCAGAGCCTCAGGCGGAGCCCCCTCCTGCCCCACTCTCTGCGTGTTGGCTGGAGCTTCTCTAAATGTCGGTTTTGCCACCGCTCCTATTCTGGCTCTCTGAGCCTCCCAGCCTCCCCAGCCCTCCACCCTGGACACCCCTGCTGCGGCCCTCGGTCTCCCTGCTTCGGATTTCGGATTTCGGCAACCAGCCTGAGTCTCCCCAGTGGGGTCCGTCTACCGCCCCCTGCTCTTTCCTAGAACACCACTGATGCTCGTCTCCTCACATGTACCTGGCAGTGCGCTAGTTACATATGTTGTGTCATTCATTCCCCTCTACAACTGAGACAGTGACACAGAGAAGTTAAGGAACTTGCTTAAAGTCATAGATCCAAAATGCACTAGAGCTTCAAGTTGATTGCAGGCTGCCTGCTTCCCTTCCACCTTGCATATTACCAAAAAAAGCTGAACGCCTAGCCAAGGTCCCTAAGTTTTACCTAAGTTTCCCCTGTTTCTTAAACTCAGAGAGGGCAGAGAGGGCAGTATTATTTCTACAGCCCAGAGTCCTAAGTGACTTGTCCAAGAACACCAGCCCAGCCTTTCCTGATGGCAAAACATGGACAATTTACAATATCACACTGGTATCTGTTTCTCCATACCTTTTTTTTAACAGTTTTATTGGTGTGAAACCTGAGAAGAAATATATTTGCCATAAAGGACTGTTCATGTTTAACTGGACCCAAATTCATAACCAGAGTCTATCGCTGTTGCTAACTGAGGCCTCTCACACTCCATTTCAGGATAAGTCCCAAGCTGAGCTGTCAACCTCCTGTACCGTGCTTGTGCCACCTGACTCAACCCTTATTTGTGGTTTCATCTTTCCACCAATGAACTGAGACCTGCCCTATACTATTGTATCAAAACTGGTCAACTATATCCTCCTTTGCACTTATACAGACCAATCAGGACTGCAGATTTGGATTCCTCATTTGCATAAAAATATATTAGTTGGGAACTAGGGTGGGACCTTTCTCCATAAAAGGTACTCTAACCCCTTGTCTTAGTGGCACACATTCTCAGTGTTCAACTGAAGCTGCATTTCCCCTCTTTGCAAACTGTTCATCTGAATAAAGTTCTCCTTTCCACACCTCAGATAGGGAATTATTGTTGACATTGATATGACATACAAAAAACTACATGTTTAAAGAGTATCATTTGATGTTACAATAAGTCCCTGAAACCTTCAGCACAACCGAGACAGTGAACATAATCCACCAACCTCCAAAGTTTCCTTCTCCCGATCACAATCTATCACAACACCTCCACAAATAACCAGAGTTTTGCTTTTGGTCACTCTACATTAGTTTGCATTTCATAGAATTGCACATAAATGGAATCATATAATACGTGCTTTGGGGAGGAGGGGAGAATCAGGCTTAATTAATTTGAGATTCATCTGTATTTCTGAGTGTCTCTGCAGGTTGTTTCTTTCTATTACTGAACAGTAGTCTGTTACATGGGCACACCACACCCTGTTTATCGTCACAGCATTGTTGGGCTTTAGCTCATCTTGTTTCTGGCTCTTGCAAACAAAGCCATCAACATTGATATACAAGTCTTTCGTGCGCACATAGGCTTTATCTGGATTAATACCTAGGAGTGAAATGGCTGTCATGTTGTAGGTTTATGCTTAACTTTTTAAGAAACTACCAAACTATTTTTCAAAGTGGCTGTTCCATTATACATTCCCACCAGCAGTCAATGAGAGTTCTAGATTCTCCATATTCTCAATCATACTTGCTAGACAGTCTAAAATGTGTGCAGTAGTATCTCATGGTAGGTTTAATTTACATTTATATAATGATGAATGATGTTAAGCATCCTTTCATATGCTTATTTGCCATCCACATATCTTTTTTAATGATGTGGCAATTCAAATCTTTTGCCCATTTTATAAAAGTAGGATCCTCATTCTCCCACTATTTAGTTTTGGAAGTTCTTTACATAATCTGAATATGCCTTTCAGATATGTGATTTGCAAATATTTTCTTCCAGTCTGTGGCTTGTACCTTCATTCCCTTAAGAGCATGTTGCAAAAGCTGATATATTTAATTTGATATTATTTAATTT